AACCCGGGACCTCCCGGTCCTGAAATGAGTGGCGAACCACTGCACCACAGGATCGGTTAGTCGCGGTATTTGAGACGGCACTTGAATTTCTCGGTATGTAATAATGTTGGAAGAGGTCGGACTTTTGCCTCGTTTTCAACACAAATGCATGTGGACAACTATGTGTTTATTCCGTGCGTATGCGCGCGGACCTGCTGTATAAAGCACTAGATGAGCACAAGCGAAGCTATTTTTCTAACAGAGAACACAAATTGATTTTAATCGTGTGCTTTATTATTTATAAGTGGAACTCAGTAATTGTTGCATATTATGAGCAAGTTACATTTTAAAATTGCAAGTCTAGGGCTGATAACTTTTCTAACCGTTAAGGCATCTGGCCCGAACATGATGCTATTTTAATTATGTTTTCCTATATTGTAGTGCCCACGCTTTACTATGGCACTTCCTCGTGAATTGCGAAATAGTTCTGTCCTATTTTGTTCATATATCCTAAGAAGACAATTAAAAAGTTTGTACACATGTCCATCGACGATGCCTATTGCCCGTAAGTTCCACTTGCTTACGGACAATTCTTCCTGTTGCTTGCTTAACTCAGCTGCTCATAGCCAATTGCAGTCTGCATGACTTGACATGACTCGAGGCTTTGCATCCACCACTCCAACTCCATCATGACCACAATCAAGCAAGTAACAGCGACGGGGAACCTTCGAGTGGTGATCCCACTCGTTGGCTCTGCCAGCTGTAGTCTTGTCTTCGTCTTTGATTCTTTTTCTCATACTTTTCTCATTTATTTTCTCGTCTGCCGAAATACCAGACGACACGCTTGACTTGACCACCCGCCGTCTGTTTGTCTCGTCCATCTTTCCCTCGTTCCACATATCCACCATCTCCTACTTCTTCCATACTACGACACAAACCTTTGGCAAGAATGCTAGTTCAACGGCGTGAAGTAACTTCGGCCATTCAGCACACTCGGGTCAATTTTTGAACGAAGTGGTGGAATAGAGAATACACTCAAAGATTGAGTGCTCACGACATTAAGTGGCGGTAGACGAAAAACACTATTACCACATGGCGCTTGCTGCTCCATCTTTCGTTCTTCAGCACCTGTAATACGCATGGGCGACAAAATGAGTGCAGATGATGGAGGTAGAGGTAGACGATTCTGGGCATTTTGATATGACATTTCCGTAATGGCACTGAGCACTCCACCAAACTTGCGAATTGGGAACGGAGTTCCATCTGGGGACACCCGCAATGGGCTGAGTCGTACATCGGCATTCTGCGTACACCACTCAGGGCTGGTTCGTCTATTGTTTCCCCATTCCATCTTGCGAATCTTTTCACTAAACTCGACGGATGCACGTGCTACAATCTCTTTCGGACATTGTTTGATTACAACAGGACTCGCCGACATATCAGCCATCTCGACGTCAGGAGGAGACGATGGCATGAACGAACTACATGGAACAGGAACAGGCTCTTGCTTCATACCCTCGACAGACGCGATCTCAGCCAAGCGAAACAACTCGCTCCGTGGAGCTTCATGGCCAGGAACACCCGTAAGTGAACGTGTGGGGCTCACAGATAAGTTTCCATTCGTATTGACGCGGCCGTATTGAACAGCCATTTCATCGCCCGATACGTACTCGATGGCTTTAAAGAGATTTTCCTTGGCCGAATAATCCTGCAATTCGGCTTCATTATGTTGCATGCTGTCATCGCCAGCCTGTTTGCGTCCTTTATGACGCAATCCACGGCGCCATCGACTGATCTTCTGACGATACTTTTGAGCATGGGTCATAGTCTGTCGGGTAGTCTTGGTGCCGATAAACGCAGCTATGACTTTCCATGGACCCGCGGGATACTTTTCCATTGCCTCAAGAAACTTTTCATGCTCTTCTTCAGTCCATAATTTAAGGGGCTGACTTTGCTTGGACGAATAGACTGTCGTCCCAGCTTTAGCCTCCGTTGGCTTGATACGGATTAGCTTGCCTTCGGAGCTAGTCATCTCGAATAGCTCCTTACGCACATTGGCTGAAATTGTCATTTTGCTTAGCACGTCCACGTCTGGTGCCGTAGCATGTACCAAGTTGAGATTAAGTGGAGAATTGGCTTTAGTGGTGGAGCGCCAGTCCAGACAAACAGCGACGGGAACGGCGAGGAACCGATCGAACTTAAGCGAGATATAAAGCATAATGGATACAATGTGGATTCATTTTGTGTCGCGGCTGCGCCCCATAACAACAATCCTATCCAGAATATATAAAATCGATTGCGATGTAGCCAACGTTGCTTACGCTTTCTTTTTGAAGGAAAGTATGAGACGAGCGACAGGATAGTGGAAGGGACTCAACTTGCTTTTAAGCTAGGTATATTACAGGACATACAGACCTGTGAACAAATCAAGTGCTACCTCAGTGGCGCGGAACACACAGGCGATCGTCTGAAGCAGTCTGAATGTCTGGCGTGATGTAGAGGCTCTCTTAGACACAAAGCCATGCAAAATGGGATAAATAGAGACGGAAAGAAAAAGGTCAAATTAACCAGCACCGGGACAATTAGGTATTCGTGCCTAATATTTGGCTCGATTTTGCACAGAATTCTTGCGAATTCTTGAAAGCATCAGTACCATCAAGCTTACAAGATGCATAGTTTCACTATTACCTACCAAGTTGCATTGAATGGAGTCACAAGTGACTAAACTCAGAACACTGCATATGGTTTTTTACGGCCAATTCGACAACAATAGAGTCATCAGCTGTGCGCTTGCGTAAGGCGCACAAAGACAAGCTCAAGGAGGCAATGAATGAGTCAGTGCATCCTTTTAAACTTTTCACAGCGTCGCAACACCTTTACGATGGCGGTCGATCAGTTATTATTTTCAGGTGGGAAGGCCGCAAAAAGAAAAAAAAGTCGAGTAAAGACGTTGGTACAAATGAAAAGATTTGCATATGGTTCGCTGATTTAGTTCGTAAAAATTCTATTTAAGGTCGATCAACCGAATATTGACGATCAAAACTGGATACTCCAAATCCTACCGTAAGAAATGATACTACATGTGCAACTCCCAAAAACAATTCTCAAGGGTAACAAGTGATTATTATGTAGATGTGTACGGCATAAAAGTTCATGTAGAGGTCAGAAGTGCTCAGGCGACGAAGTTGCAAATTATAATACACGTACACATCACGCTACTATCTCTCAACTTGAGACGAAGCTCAGAAGTATCAAAGTGAAGTAGTTTGATGAAAATTCATACTTTGTACGCGATACAAATCAGAGTGATTGGACTCCGTCAAGGATGGTTTCGTGGGACAAAGCTTTGTACCATCGCCGTATCTGGATAGTAATGAATCAAAGCTGTCCTGTTATCGTCCACAAAGACTGTCCCTCACAATGCAACCGCGCCGCCGTTTTAATATCTGTCTTTATTTTTCTGTGTGCGTGGCATTGTGTAGTGCACATCACTCAGAACAAGATTTACAACAAAGAAAATCCCTAAATATTCCTCGAGTTAATGAAAACATACCAACTACTCATCAATCTTCTTCTGTAGCTTATGTGGTTCTTGGTTAGGTATATGTGTGGTATACACGAATTCATCCCCTGTGCATGCGTTAACACGAACTAGTACATCAACGCTTTGGTCGCGCGTTCATCGTAAATTTCTACATGTAGTATTTCTCATCAGTTAATGAGCTAGCTGGTCGCATCATTTTGACGCAGCAGCGGGTCACATATTGCTATGAGCAAAGTGCACGGCATTCGTAGCACTATTCTGGATGAGACTGTATTCTCTGACGGGATAGCGCAAATTATCTTGAGTTTACGCTTCTTGAGACAACCGGACATTTTGAGTACGTTTCCGGCATCAGTATATCCGGTGGAGAAAGCATGTTGAACGACACAAGGGCCACAAGCTGTAATCGCTCACCAGAAATCACTCACCAGACATCGCTCACCAGCTATGAAGCGCACCTGCAACAACGAGTGTGTGAGAGCAGGCTGTGCTTCCACAAAAAAACCACTGTTTG